TTTCGTCACCTTAGAGTAGTAACGGGTTAAGTCCTTTTAAAATAAATAGGGAGTTAACCAGTTATTGCAGTAAGGTTAATTTTCATGACAGAAGCAAAATGTAAGCACTGTAGTATTTTGATTTCTTATACAAATTACTAAAATCACTTTAATTGTACTTACTGTCAGAAAGCAACAGAAACATTAATTAGGTGATTAATGTAATTGGCCAATATTTTTTTAAAACTAAAACAGAATAAAAATGATATAGGGGTGCTACAGGGGGCATAGGCGGTAACTTCACCTTTAATGAACAGGCTCAAACAAACCGAGCTTGCATCATTTATAATGACATTATGCCGTTCTAGGCATTCTTTAAAAATATTCTGTTTTTCTCTATTTTTGTTCTAACAATGGAACTAGAACTAGATGACAATGGGAACAATAGGTAATATTAAAAACCTACGGCACTTTTGATTGATTTATTTTTATTCATGAAAGACAATAATTGCATCCAGTAAGGAAAATTGCTACGTAAGAACAATTGGGGGGGGGGGGGTGCGGGTAGCCGCTTTAAACTCGGTTTGTTACAGCGACGGTACAAAAATTTGCATTTTAATTGTATTTTTTCTTCACATTGTACACCGATCTCTTCACGTGATAGGCATCTAACATATACTAAATTTATAAGTAAAAAGAGTAATATTTTAAAACACACGCTTGCCTTTTCTTCAGAGATAACAGTGATCAGTTACTGACAATTCAGCTATTTGATGTTCGTGATAAATCATATTACTTTGTCGATCATTAGCTAACAATATTTGAAATTGTTATTAAAACAACTGGCCGGCATTTAATTCTGACTTACTCTATTATATCAATGTAACATAGCCATTAAACGGCATTTTGTTCCATTCATCTGAAATATTCACAGATATAAGTACTGAAGGATAAGTAAATGAAAAAAGTTTCAAATTGACCCAAACCACTCAGAATGCATTCCTTTCCTCCACTTCCCCACTTATGGAGGAAGGGAACGGTCATCAATGGCTACAGCCGAGTTCCCGTGAGAGAACAGCCGTAACCCGCTTCGCGCTCAGAAAGGAATGCTCTGTCTCTTCATCGTGGGTTTGGGTCTCGTCAGTTTAACCTGACGTCCTGGCGACACTTACTATAGAAATGATCCCTAAGAGTAAGGTCTTAATCACTTTGTCAAAGTTTGATGTTTAAGTACTACGTTAGATTTTAATACATGTACGCCTTGGAATTACAATGTTATAATAATAAAAACATACTTATTTCGTAATTTGTTGACGATTTATTTCAGAAAAGTTACGTTCTTAAATGAAAGATATCAATATTTTAATGCCAAAAGTGTTATGTAAATGTCTTAAAGTTTTATAATTGTAACACCTTAGTTGAAAATATCTGTATTTTTTGTATGTAAGGGAGGTAATATAATACTTATTATAGTTGTGTTGCATACCTTCTTTATATATCATTTAACATTCATACTTATATGTATTCTACACTGTTTCAACGCAAAATGATTTTCTTAAATAGTTAAGGATTAAACCAACAAACAACGTCCTAATATTTACATTTTTTAACTTTATCACGGCTAATTACATTAAGCATAAAGTCGTGCTTTCATTGAATTTCAAGGTGACTATATAGTTTAAAAGGGAGATAGTACGTTGTTCAAGTACACTTTTAGTTACTATCTCCCTTACTTAGTATGCCGTACTAGCTGGTTGTTTTAATACTCCCAGTCCAGTTGGTATTTTGAATATTTTCATGTTTTATCGTGTTTTATATTAAGAATTGGATTTATTATTTTTATAAACATTTTTCTACCCAGTGGGTTATCTCTAGTCCACTTATCGAAGTTATTTGTTACAATTAAAACATTAATCTCATTAAAATAGCATGAAAGGCTAATCAACTTTAAAGCATCAGAATTGGACCTCAGCCTAATCCTAGGTTGGGGACGTAATGATGTAGGCGTGTGCACGTGTGCATTACATTGTCGGGTATTGTGACGAATATTGCCATAATTTAGTTGAGACAAATATAGCTATCTAGTATTTCGCCGGATCCAGTGGGTTCGCAACTTCGATCCCTAACTGACTTTTCAACTTAAATTGCGGATTTTTTTTCTTGTCTTTGGAATCCAAAAATCCTGTGAAATGGCGCTTTACACAAACCAGTTGTTTCGACACCTCTTTTCTTAAAAATGACTTAATCATAACTAACATATATGCAATGCTATACGGGTTTTTTAAGTAGAAGCTGCTCACATATATATGATTAAGTGCAATTGCGTTATTTAATTGTTTAAAGATCCTGTATGTTTTGTGATTGATATTGTTACTGTCTGTATACCACACTTGCAAAAAAATATATATGTATATAATTATGCAAGTAAAACAATTTTCAAACATCGAAGAATATGTAAAATGTGTACTGCAAATATTTAAGCACGTTATATTTAATCAACAAATTATATGCATTCATTTCTTATTGGAAAATTTGACTTAGAATTTATACAAAATAAATTTCTAATTATCTCCCTTTATTTACATGAAATATTAAAATCGGTAATATCTTTATAAATAATGCTTATTGGAACTTACAATAATGACAAATCTTAATTTGAGCATCATATTTATGAAATAAAACCATGAAAAAAATGTGTTACAGGATCTTTAACTTTTTATAACTTTTTAACACCTTAACAGCAAGGAGAGGTAAATCTCACTTAAGCACGGAGAGGTAACTTAATCAAAGGATAGAAGAACATGATCACCTGTAACATTTATCATTGCTTTGTTTCTGTTTCCAATAAGTTAAAGTACATGCGTAGAAAAACTTGAAGAATTCCTTGATTTGTAAACTGATACGGTCTCCAACTATATCATGATTTATAAATGTAAATTATGGCGGTTTCTTAACATAAAGGTTAGATAATCACTAACACTATTATCTAACAAATATCTGCATAAAGTTTACCAGTAACAAGCTAGAATCGAAAGAGTTTATATAGAGCTATAGCAGTATGACCAGCCTCAATACAGTTGTTAACTTTGATATTGAAATCCCTAACATTTTCTATGGCCTAATTTCAAGAAGCGCAAACCCATTTCAAAAAGCTCAGGTTAAGTCGCAGTGTAAATTCGACATAATTATGTGGATTGTGATAGCCAATCTGTAGTACTGACTTTTAATTGAATACGTACGTATATACATGCATGTACAAAGTTAAATTTTTGCTAAAGTCTATGTCGAATTAAATTCATTTAGATATCTTATCTTATACGACAAGGCCATTGATTTACGATCTCTTTTTTTTATCATGAAAACTAATATGCGATGCTACAGATAGGGACATGTAAAGTAGAAACAAATCACATTTGTAATATACATGTATTTTAACCAGTAAAATACTTCTTATGTGTTGGGCAGACTGTGCCTGTCCAAGCTTAACAAGTGAGTGGCATCCGTGCGAGCGAGCACCTGGATAAGTACCCCCTGTAACGCAAGCTTGCTTTCTTAAAAAAGAACCAAGACGAGAAAAAAATATGTATTCAAGAGTGAAAATCACAGCACGTCATCGCAACTCAAATTAGCATCTGTTTCTACTTCATGTACTTTCATAATTATACATATTTGTTTTCTTTATTTGGTCAGACCAGAGAAATAGATGTCTGCATCTCTGGTCAGACATGAAAAATATTGAGAAGAGAAAAAAAAATTTGAACGTTTTTTTCTCATAAATTGTATAATAAACTATACTGTAGTCGTTAAATTGAATGCTTAACAATGTTTGTTGTTTTTGGTTTATACGCAGACTTTAAGTGAGTTCTTTTGTCATATCTCTGCGGCGGCGTTACTGGATAACTAACAAGGGCAGTACATGTAATTACCAATATCACCGCAAATGACAGACTACTCTTTTCCACATGGTTTTTTGAATCCGCAGTGAGAGACAGATGACCATTAGATTCAATGTCCGGCCAGACATAGACTGTCAGTGAGAAATGACGCCTTGCCCGAGGATCAAGCCAGCGACACCCTTGATTACTAAGCTGATGCTCTTTCTAAAGCCATGAACGGACATAACGCTCTAAAATGACATAAATGCTTAAAGCAGCATGCCTCCAGATTCATGCTAATTTTTATGAACATTTTGAAAATGTATTGAAAGCAAAAATATTGTGAAGTGAACAAAGAAAATAATTAATACATACAACCCGCTAAAATTTCTAGAAGAGGTCAAAACATACGAAAATAGGCCTTACTGCGTTAGTCACACATTAGAAATATGATGATAAATAAATACTGCAAAATTTACTGATCGCACATAATGTACTTTATAACTTAAATCTTTTTACTTTACTAAAATCATTAGTATTTTTTTGGAAAAACTTGGGGCATGCAGCTTTAACATTCTTTCTTTTATCAAATAGGCATGCTGCATTTTTCAGACTGTAGCATTCTTTAGTCAACAATCACCGTTATAAAGTATCGAACGAGAGGGTTCAGGATAGCCCTCTGATACCCAATCAGAGTCTATAATTTAACAAAATGGGTGCTGGGTAATCGTTATCCATCAAAATATTAATCAATTTGTGTACAAATAACAATGAATTTTTTTTTCATATTTTTTTATTTTTATTTTCTCATTATCATTAGTATATACCATTTGACAAGATTATAAACACCACAACAATAGCAAGGGACACAGTCCCTTATAAAATCATAAAATAGCACAAACTGGTTGATCCAATAAATCAAACTTTGACAAAATTCTGAAGAAGACGGGAGGCCGTAAGGTATTACATCGGTCTTCTGCAGGCCATACGGCGTTACACAGATGGCGTCATCAATACATTCTCCCGCGTTCTTGGATAGAACGTTGACAAAAGTTGGTTTCAAAAGGAACATAACCAAGTTTTCATAAATTAAAACACATGATGATCAGATGAAATATTAAGCGTGACTGAGGTAACTACAGAAACAAAATCATAATACTAAATCCAGCTATTTCATGTATACATTGCATATATAATACAAATACTGTCCATGTACCCCACTTTGCATTTTTTTAGCGTTTTCACTTAATTATACACATAAGTTTCGTTGATATAAATATGCTGGCCTTTACACAAATTCACATATTAGTTACGAGTGCTTTTATACAATAATTGCAAACATTTTCTTTAAATATAGATGCATTAAAGGCCCATTATGCTTCAGAGATGCTATCATTTTTATTTCTCAAATCCTTTTTATTTTTTGTTATCTTGTTAGATTCCACAACATACTTATTTGATATATAGATGAACTATTTTTGCTTCTTTTGCTTTGTTAGCAATTGCTATATTTATAGGGAATTAGTATTTTGTATGGATGTCAAAATACTACTTTCTTAACATTTCGTACCTTTAGGGACACATTATTGCAAATTCAGCGGTACTTTCTTTTCAAATATCTCTTATGCCCTTAATCCATTATTAAAACATTATAAAACACATTTTTGTCATTACTGTTTCTTTAAAGATATGGATTTTTGAGGCATAATGTGCCTTTAATGATACACATGAAACACAAATGATATCTTGCATAAAACGTTAGTGATAAATACACACATGATCACAATTTAAACAATGTTAAAAATTCATCTTACATTTGCCTACTTAATGCCATTATTTGTCAATTACACAATTAAAAGAATTGCAATTTGGTGATAAAACATTCACAGTTACAGGTAAAAATAATTTACAATCATACTTAATTACCACAGTCTGGCCTTAGTATATTAACATACAAATACGCAAACGTGTACAAGTTACTTTCATCTTAATTTTACTTATAAAATTGTAACACATTTATGTTGTTTTCTCTTTCTATTAAAAAAAAAAAACTCTTTATTTATATCCATCAAGAATATCACACATTTTTTCCCTACAAAATTGCCTCATTACCATTATATGCTAATAGAAATATTTGATCGACAACCATTTATAGCAGAGCTAGCTAAATAAATTCCATTTTTATATCCAGTTTTCTAACATAAAACAATATAGCCTTTATATTCTATCAAGATGTTACAATATTCTAAGCTTTATATAAAGCTTGGTGTAACAGATTTTCATTACTATAAAGCACATGTTGTTATCACATAATCTAATCCTTAATATAGAACAAATAACCATGGTTACGCTCACCCTATACATTGTATATACTTGTAGATGGATATTCAGCAAATAACATTTGTTCTTTCCTTACTGAGTTAAACTAACTCTTCACACAGTGGTTTTTATCAAGTTATTCAACAACTTATGGTATAAAGCCTGTTTATGTTGTAACACTCTGCCCAGGCTAGCCTGAATTTATTATAAAGAAATTATTCTTGCCAGATATCTCTGGTTCATACAGTATATAAACTTTCAGACTAACAAAAATAAGTTTTTATATGTATTGGCACAATAATCAAAAAGTCTCAGTTTTGATTCCCAAATAAATCTAATTCTGTTATTCATTTAACATCTTCAATTTTTCTATCTGTATCTTATTTCAGAATTAAAACAGACATTTATACAACATCCAGCCATATAGTTAAAAGTTATACAACATACACCATATTTCAAACCTTCATAAAATGTATGCAGTGTACCATGAAAATATTGAAGAAATAGGTATGCACAGAACTAGTAAAAGTTGTCAAAAATGACACATGAATAACACAATTTCATAACTAGACAATGTATTTGTCTTTAATCTATTACGGTATTCTATTTTGAGCTGTATTCAGCACTGAGTGGCCAGATGTAATATCTTATAATATAAAATGAGTGATTTTCTAGTATAGTATAATATCAATACTAGTTATTTCTTTAACACTTCTTGCATGTCAGATCTCTAAATTTTCACTTCTCATTTATTACTATTTAATTCACTTTTACAGATCTTATTATTGATTTAAAAAAAATGCACATACATAATGCCTCAAAAGAAAAAAAAAAAAACAACACCAAAAACAACTGTCAAAAATAAGGAAGAATCATTCTATGGAATAATGAACAATGAACAATGACTTAAACAAAGATTTTTTACAAATAATAATAAAATAAAAAATCCTACAACATTGATAAATTATAACTCGTCTCTTTCATCATCACCTTCCTCGCGAGCATGATGATCTCGGACACCTTTCTGCCTAATCTGTTCCTGCGTGTAATAAACCAGTCTGCTCCGGACATCGTCATCTAGATCATCATCCTCATTCTCTTTCTTGACGAAGCCGAGTAACTCTAAAAGATTATTACAATCTTCCCGAGATTTTTTATCTAAACTAATTTCCTGAAATATGAAAAGTAAGCAATTAATTATTTAGTAAATCAGATAATTTTCATAATCTAATGAATTATGGCTTGTCTTTTTGGATGAAACAGGTGATTGAATTACCAAAAAGATAGCAGTTTTTACAAATACAATTTTTACATAGCCGGTGCTTCCAATATATAACCTTATGGAATATAACCAAAAACAATAAACATTCAATATATATAACCCAATAAGATATAACCACTGTCAGGTCCAAAAGTCTAAAAAGACGAAATTTGAATTTCTTATGTAGATCAGCAGGGCAATTAAAACAGAAAAATATGTAAACGAGAAATGTCCCATAATGTCAAAAATCCTCAGTGGAGTCCCTTTAATGAATTGCCGAGTGGTTAACATATCATACTTATAATCAAGGATTTCATAGCGACATGTGTTCAAACTTTTTTTAGACACAAGCTGTAGTTTCTATGAGTTATAAACCTTTAATACACTCATTGCTCAGTAATGGTTGGTTCCAGGAATAATTATTATAAACCAACAAGGAAAGATTATGATAATGTGTGACAGTCTATAAGCTTATAGTTTCCTACACAATTAATTTGATCTTCCAACTTCCTCAACAGGATATTGCCTCTTCCCCAAAAGATAAACAAGAGGGCCATGAGCCCATGATAGCCCTTAAGTCGCTCACCTGTATATAGGCCCCCCGGAGCGGGCCAGTTTTAACCCCTGGGCTTTTGTTTGAACAAACTTGGTAGACACCCATTAGAAGATGTTTCATGCTAAACATCTAAGGTCTAGCTTGTTGGGTTTTTTTAAAAGAAGTTTGTTTTTTTGCACATATATTTACAACCAATGACACCCCTGAGGCAGGGCCAGTTTTGACCCTAGGGCTTTTATTTGAACAATCTTTGTAGACACTTACTAGAAGATGTTTCATGCTTAAAATCCAAACACTAGCTATTCGGGTTTTTTCGAAGAAGATTTTTAAGTTTTTGCTATACACGAATCAATGTCCCCCGGGGCGGGGCCAATTTTGACCCCAGGGCTGTTATTTGAACAAACTTGGTAGACATAAATTAGAACATGTTTCATGCTAAATATCTTAGCTCTAGTTCTTTGAGTTCTTTAAAAAAAGATTTTTAAGTTTTAACTATATGCATATAGGAAAAATCAGTGACCCCTAGGACGGGGCCAATTTTGACCCCAGGGCTTTTATTTGAACAAACTTGGTAGACAACCATTAGAAGATGTTTCATGCTAAATATTTTAGCTCTAGTTCTTTTGGTTCTTTAAAAGAAGATTTTTTAAGTTTTTACTATATTCATATAGGGAAAATCAATGACCCCCTGGGGTTGGGCCAATTTTGACCCCAGGGCTCTTATTTGTATAAACTTGGTAGACATCCATTAGAACATGTTTCATGCTAAATATCTTAGCTCTAGATCTTTGGGTTCTTTAAAAGAAGATTTTTTAAGTTTTTACTTTATACATATAGGGTATCAATGACCCCCTGGGGCGGGCCAATTTTGACCCCAGGGCTTTTATTTGTACAAACTTCGTAGATACTCACTAGAAGATGTTTCATGCCAAATATCTAAGCTCTAGCTCTTTGGGTTTTTGAGAAGAAGATATTTAAAGTTTTTTCTTTTGGTTGCCATTGTATTAAACCAGAGTTCTGCATGGAATTAAATTCTTTGAACAATTTTCAAAGGTGACCACCAAAGGAACATTCCTGTGAAGTTTGGATGAAATTGCCTCAGTGGTTTATGAGGAGTTGTCATTTAAAGTAGAAGTTTACAGACACCGGCCGGCCGGACGAAAAGTGATCACAAAAGCTCACACTGTCATCGACAGGTGAGCTAAAAAACCCCGTAAAATTGTACAAATTCAGAAGGTTAAAGGTTAATAATAAGCATTTTGAATAAAAATACTTACCTCTATAACTACCTCATCTTTATTTACAAGCTGAAGGACAGGCGGAGCTCCACCCTTTGGTTTAAAGTAAACATCGTGACTGAACATATGTTAAAGATCATACTGTTTATGATTCATAACTTTCATATACATTTTGAAATAACACCTTCAATTTAGAGACACAAATAAGCAAAATTTGAAACTGACAATGTCAATTTCTTGGTTTTACAAAGATGATCAAAACTGCCTTTTACGGACAACATTTAACTATTGTTCAACAGTAGAACATAATGTACAGAAGATTTATGGCAAAACTATATTTATTAATATCAGTTACCCCTGGTGGAGGTATGTCCTATTACATTATGTACAGTAATTAATATTTTCTTATTTTTTTTTGTTGCATTGTAATACAAAAATTAAGCTCAATTGGCAATTAACAGGCTTCACTGACAGGAGGGAATTTTTTCCAAGAGCCTAACTATACATTACATCAGACATTTAACTGCATCTGAACATAGTTATTGAACTGTACTCCGTCTCAACATCTCAAGGCTAGCAAGACTGCTGAACAGCTTCCTAAGGTGTAAGCATTCAACAGCAACAGGAAGATTTAAAATCAGAGACCATACCTACAGTCCTTCAACTTGAGATAGAAATAGTTCATTACAATTTCCCTCTATTTGATATAATAGTTGTTTGTTTGAAAGGATACAACAGAGGGACGTCCTCATAAATGAACTTCTTAACCTCTGGTAAACGATTCAATCGTCATCCGGAGCAGCTCTGCAAATGAAATAAACTCAATCATATGAAATAGACCCTATCAATTCAAATAAACACAATCAATTCAAGTAAACAATAGATATCAATACTGCAATTATAAGTAAAATTACTCTACATTAAAATATTTGCAATTTTTGCAAATATTTGAGCATGCAAAAGTTATCGCCATTTTGAATGAGGAAAATCTCAATCATTTGTGAGTTGTGTTAAAATGTAACATTTGTAAACACTTTTATTTTTTTCATCTCTTATTGTGAAAATTTGTATAACTTTTATCAACCATAGAGCATGAATAAGCTAAATTACCCTGGTCCTGAGAGCAAGTTCAATTTCATTTAAATTGTTTGTTAGACCCCACTTGTTTAAGTTTATCAATAACACAAAACAAGCAGGTCATTCATAAAACTAATTAATTATTTTCTCTGCGTGTCTATGACCATATTTCACAAATATGCCAACACTTACATTCCTTAATTTTAATTATTTTAAGTACATTTTAAATGGTAATTTTGAAGTGGGGTGGATCGTCACTAAAGTGGGGCGAGTGATTATAGTCCACAAATCATCAGTGTCATTATCAATTCTCATCCATTCTCAATTTTCAAATAATTTAATTAATTTATAGCAAGAAATGAGTTATTTTTTTTACTTTAATAAAGATCAATTCTCAGTTTAAAGAAGTCCCCTTCACGATTCCAAAATAAAAGCATCACAACGTAAAGAAATGCCACTTACAAATGTATTAGAGATTTGATCATTGCATTTAAATCAAATTAAAGTTTTAAATCAAATAAACAGAATTAAATGTAAATAACACGCATTCTCTCTCAAAAATTCAAGAAAACTTGCGTTTGTTCCTCACAAATTAGAAAGCCATTAGTTCCTTCACAATTTAAGGAAATAAACCCAATATATTATGCTTTGATTTCATATAGATAATGCCATTAAACATTGTTAAAAAGTTAAATGTATGACATGTCCGATTACTATACCATTTAATAGTAAAATGTAGACCAAACGCATATTTCCGCGTGACATTAAATTTTGCATCATTGGAAATATATTATAGAGTCAAAATATACCTCAACAACTGCTTTGACGACGACCTGGTCCTTAATTGAATCACAAAATACAAAACTTGACAGTGCAAGCAACGTCAGCACACGAATAGCATCCATCTTGAAATGACAAACTTGTGCTCAATATTGATCGATATTTGCCACGTTTGGTGCGTTTACCGAATGCGGGCATGTGTAGCAATTTAATTGGTTGGCTGCTTGTTGGCTCTTAATGCCTTATTTATCGCTCAACGCATTACACATAAATATCTTTAAAATATATTAATGTTACTTTATAAATTCTTAGCTAAATTCATTTTGCGTCAACCTTCTTATTTTCATAATCATAATTAAATACATGTGCATTTATTAAAGATCCGGTAACTCATTTTTATGGTTTTATATCATAAATATAATGCTCAAATGAAGATTTAAAAATACGATGAATTTCAAAAAGCATTATTTGTAAAGATATTACCAAATTTACATTTCATGTTAATAATGGGAGGTAATTAGAAATTTATTTTCTATAAAGTTAATATATTTGAATTTTTTCAATAAGAAATGAATGCATATATTTTAATGATTACATATAATGTCATGGAGTTGAATAGTATATGTATATCTGTGATAATGTGGACAAATATTTGCTGTAAATTTTTTTACATATTCTTCGATATTTCTAAATATATGTTACAAGGGGAGGAATCACGCCGTTTATTATAATAGTTACCCAAATAAACAAGATGGCGGATGCAGCCAAAGAGTAGGGTTTTCCCTTTTTTCTCTGAAATTCATGATGTTCTTGTGTAAAGGTACATATAACAACCTTCTCCACAATTTTCCTGGCACACAGAAATTTATTTCATGGTGTTTCGTCAGCGAAGCGAGAGAATTTTCCACCGGTTTGATCGTGGTAACGTACGGCTTATTCTCTAAAATTCACTGTTTTGTTTACATATATGTATATTAACTGAAATCACTGACATTAAAAAGTTGTATTATGTCGGCATTTTAGCATTCATGCCCATTCTGGCTAGAATAACCGCTGAAAATATTAAAATCGGGGCATTTTCCGGAAATGATAACGTATGGCGCACAAAATATCAATGATAACGTACGGCGCATTTTTGTCTGCTTAATTGATTTTCTATATAAGAGAAAAGTTATGTTACCAGTAACCAGATATAAGAGGATGTGTAGAACCAAATAAAGAAACTGAATATTATTTAGTGTTTGCATAATATCTGTCATGTGTTTTTGTATCGGATAGAAATATCCGATCCAAGGGCTCTTTCGCATTGGGCTGTAACGAGTCTTGCTAATTTAAGCCCTTGTGCAGGTGTGTGGGATGGATATTAAAATCCGATAGGTAATTACGAGTGAAAAGTTTTCTTGCATATCATACTCGAATATAGAGCAACTTTTCCACCTTTGGTCAAAAGTGAAACTTGATCCCAAATTTCAAATATCTATGTATATGTTAGTGCTCATCCGTACTGTTCTATAGAAATTATAGATTTTGACGGGAGCGATAGCGACAGAAGGATGTTTTAATTTCTGTAGAACAGCTACGGGTGAATACTAACATACTAAGCGTCAAGCTTTTTTGGCACTTTATTGCGTCACTATGCTGTTCTATGAATTATTATGAAAATGAGAAATCGACTATGAACGGAATTCGATAAAGTATCGTCTTTTGTTCTTTGAATTCAATGAAAATTATTCCACAGATTTTCCTTAAGAAATACAGCGCTTTCATTGGGTGAGAAATAAATTTGGACACTACATAAACTTCTATTTTTTCATAGTGCTTCATAGAAATGTGTTCGTAAAAGTACAAGTATAGTGACGAAAGAAAGTAAATATTAATGAAGCCAAATAAAGCTTGACACTAAGTATGTTAGTATTCATCCGTAGCTGCTCAACGGAAATAAGAAACATTCTCCGGCCGCTATCGCTCCTGTCAAAGTTTCTAAATTCTGTAAAACAACACAGATGAACACTTACTGATTACTACGCTACTATGATAATATTGTTTACGAAGTATATGTTACTAACATATACTTCGTAAACACTATTATCATAGTAGCGTAGTAATTTTTACAGCTTTTCTTTCATAAAGATAATGACGTCATCTGAGCGCATTCATGAGCGGTCTAGCTTTAAAAATGATTTCAGACGGGTTCTCGGACATGGATAAAATATCGAAATCCAAATCCGATTTGAAACTTTATCATGGTCGGTAAAATGTTTACCGCAAATTTCAATGAAACTCTTTTATTGCTGATACCTGCAATACTATTTTGTAAGAGATTGATTGTTTTTGTTGGGGCGTTTGCGAGAAAAAAAAGCTAAAATATGATAGGCAAATTTATTAATTGGATGTAATTGTTTTGATCAAATCATTTATAATAAAAAAAAAAAACTGTACGGATATGTCGTGCAAATATATCTGACGTCATAGTGGCACAACGTCACGCTAAATAGAAAACGTTTCGTCAAATAAACTGGAAATTTTTATTTAATAAATTTATAATTTTTTTCGCAAAACATTATTTTCTAACTAATTCAATAAATTCAATATAGAACCTATACTCATTCATTATTCTCTTTCATGAATTTTCTTTTAATGAGCGACCAGATTGTATAAACACAGGCTCATCTCCTCTGGGTGAAAGCTAGTCGCAATCACTTTTCGTTTGGTTTATGTTTGACGTGGTTCAAATATTAAGATTTTCTTATCAGTAATTTGTAAGTAATTTTGGAAAAGAAAAACTATCAAGTCTTCCGTACCATTTTAACATTTTTGCACTGGTGAATGCATTTCTTCTTGCTGATAAGGGGATAAGACCATATAATTATCGCACAACACTGGCGAAATTTAATGTGAAGACAACAATACACAAATGTTTCCTGAAAGTGGAGGCTTTTCTTTCCATTCTGCATTTTATACAAAAATATTCTCAAACTATAAACGTGTGTTTTACTTGATATATTTACAACGAATATCTATTATGCCACCAGCTAAAAAGATATTGATACCCGATGGTGTAGCATTGTTCAATAATTATGCCCCCGCCATGTAATGGCCGGGGCATATAGTGTTACCCTGTTCCGTCATTCCGTCCTTTCGTCCTTCCATCCTTCCGTCCTTCCATCATTCTGTCATTCCGTCATCATTAGTTTCCGTTCATTATCTTAAGAACGGTTGGACACATTCAACTCAAATTTAAGATATGGATATGTCATGAGAAAATACAGGTCAAGTTCGAATTTGGTCATGGTTCGATGATTTTTGGCAGAGTTATGCCCCTTTTACTTTGAAAATAATATGAAATTTCAGTTTCCGTTCATTATCTCCCTCAAGGTACAACACATTCAACTCAAACGTGACATATGGATGCGTCAAAGGAATGCGCAGGTCAAGTTCAAATTTGGTCATGGTTTGATGTTTTTTGGCAGAGTTATGCCCCTTTTACTTTGAAAATAATATGAAATTTTCAGTTTCCGTTTTTTTATCTCCCCAATGGTACAACACATTCAACTCAAATTTGACATATGGATATGTTTTTGGAATGCCCAGGTCAAGTTCAAATTTGGTCATGGTTCAATGATTTTTGGCAGAGTAATGCCCCTTTCACTTTGAAAATAATATGAAATTTACAGTAATATAAATCCGTGATAATAATAATAATAATAATTGTCTATTGAATTCGTCTAAGAAACATGTTGTGCCAACAAAAATAAATAAAGATTCAGAACCTGCCAAATCCTTTATTCACCCTTTATTATTGAATGTTATAGGATAGGTATATATTTACAGTAATCTAAGTTAACAGTTTATCTATAAGTTAATATGAGTTACTATCTTTCATACTAATTGCATGGTATATACAATATTATTGTCAACCAATCAAATTGTTGCAGTATATACATACTAAAAGGTATAAATAAGCTGACTTTTGGTTAGGTACTGTACCTACTCTGGTCAGTACTACAAGTCTTAGCTTTGAAACATTAAACTGGACTTAGCCCTAAACACACACATTTACGCTTATTATAATCGACCACATATTAAAAAATCTCATAAATATAATCTTAATTAAATAATAAGTAAATTTGTTTTTAATATAAAACTAAATATCATTTGATAAGTATAATTATTATATTTGTTAGGGCTATTCATATATTAAAAGCATTGATTGAAATTGTATTTACTTGTTGTTGTCGTTTAGTCCATCATCTTTTCTAGCGGTTATTGGCAATTAAATTTAAACGAATTTGATGCTCAGAAGAACCTCACCACTATTACAGATAAATTTCAAAGGAGTTATTCTATTTTTTGCATTTTCAATAACGATGCATTTCAAATTTAATCTGATGCATGGTTACACTTTACACACAGAAGCTAGATATAAGTGGAAATATAGAGGTAAACATTGATATGTTATAATACAAATCAGAGGTTTAACATAAGTAAAATGTTGGATTTACGATTGGCCGATTTGTGTTATATTAAATTTATTCTCTACATGCATATACAATGCACGGAAATCACGTGCACTCACAAGCAAAAGCATTAAAGATGTAACTTTTTTCCTTATTTTAACATACCGGTATGTTCCTATGTGCCTGAACATTGCAGAAAGCTTTTTTATCATATTCATTTTCATAAAAAAGTCAGAAAACATTTTACCAGTTTCAAATATCGAGCAACAATTATTCGTTATTGACTCTCAGAACAATTATTCGTTATTGACTCTCAGAACAATTATTCGTTATTGACTCTCAGAACAATTGTTCCTCCTCATTAATTTTAAACTCCTAGTACTATTTCTTGACATAAACATTGTCTTTAAGGAACGCAAGATAATTGCTCCTTGACTTTCCTAACAGTAATCAATCACGTGTGGGTTGTGAGTCGAACGTCCATTACTGTATCCTTAAAGCACTCTTCATCCACAACATTCAAGGGACAATATATTGTCACCCTTTTGCTAAATTTCATTCTGCTTGAATTATGTAATGAAGAATAACATCATTCATCAGGCTATAAAACTTTTTTATTTGTTGTAGCATCAAGGTTTTGGCATGGAATCATAAATACAAAATAAAAATTCCAGGGCGAGGTATTGCAGTAGAATAACTTTATACTAGCGAGCAAATTGGAGCAAGGCACTTAAATTTGATCTGTTTTGTTTTATTGGCATTTACAGACAAGTCTTCATAAACCCGGTATGAGCTAATGCTTTTTAAAATTGATTGACACTTTCTTATTGGGGTCTTAATCTATGTTGAGTTTTACAAAAAACTATTTGAAATTAAAGTTTTACGACATTCATTAAAAACCTTTAGCTGCACCAGAGAATGCTCATATTTAAAATATCTTCATTTATTGTTTTAAAGTATAAGATGTATAACTGACACATTTTCCAAAGGCGATGAAAACTTTATATTACATGTATTAAACTTGACTATATTCAGGACATAAATACAAAAAAAAAATACAAGAGTGTAACTTCTTGTTTGAAAAAATATTGTCAATTAAACTTCAACTATACAACAACAACAACAACATAATCTGTAGAAAAGTTTATATATATTATCCTAACTTGAAAAGTGAAAATAAAGAACTATAGTTTTTGAATAACAACAAATGAATCAATGTGAAATGTAAATGAAAAGATTTTGTTTGTTTATTGAAACAGGTAACAGTCATTTTACATCAAATAAGAAGATAGGGGGTAAGAAAACCCGTCAGATTTAATAAATGTAATCGGGTCTTCATAATAATTTTAATAATGATTATCTACAAACTATTCTTAACATTTTGTGCAAAATATAAAGAAAGATTACCATGCTGATTTTAAATAATTATAATTTTATATGGTTATGCTATCCAATTTCACACATTTCACAGTAAAAAATATAAATGGAACTTCATATTTAATTACAAATTTTAGATTTAAATTAAAGAAAAAAAATCATTATCTGACAAAACAAAAAGAAGAAAAACGACAAATATTGAAAAATTGCATCTTCTTAATTGGGTTTGAACCCACGCCCTATCTAGCTAAACTCTGTCTTCTCACTGAAATGAATATTATTACTGCATTAGTTCGTTAAGTTGAATCATTACGCGAGGCAGCTTGTGGATTGAAACGTGCACATATGAGCTGTGTCATGACAAAACGAACATAGTGCTTTTACGACCAGCATGGATCCAGACCAGCCTGCGCATCCGCGCAGTCTGATCAGGATCCATGCTGTTCGCCATCAGTTTCTCTACTTGTAATATGGTTGGTATGGGAACAGCATGGATCCCGATCAGACTGCGCGGATGCGCAGGCTGGTCTGAATCCATGATGGTTGCAAACCCATTATGTTGGTTTTGTCATTATGTTTTATACACGGTGCACTCTAAATATTCCCATTCTTTTTAATCATGGGTTACTTTGGTCTTGTATCGAATTAGATCTCTTAATGAATTTCATATTGTATTCAGTATTCCTAATTACGTGCAAGGTCCGGATTGACTTAATGTATTTAACAATGTCTTCCCGAGTCGTCTCTGATATATCATAAAACAATAAATTCACGGTTATCTCCTTCAGGGCGTTTGCAATACTGCGGATAAAACAATAAAATGATTCATTGCTTAGAGTAACATGGGACATTTCAATTTCCATATCTTCCCCTTCTGGATCTACAGAAAGTTTATGGTCACCAAAGTTAATTTTCAAAATATATAGGTACTTGAGCTTCTGTAGTGAGGAAATCATTCTAACCAACGCTCCAATTGTATCATCATCAGTAATGTTACTGACAAAAAATTTCTTCAAGACTGGTGCACAGGTCAAATCGTCCAATAGAGGTTTTGACCAGCGAGCAGGCTCACCTTTTTCTGTATGGTTTAACCTAAGCCTATACAACTCTTCAACATTTACTAACACGTTTTTAATGTTTATGCCACCAATGCCTAACAAGAAAATTTTCGTGTGATTCCGCAGGTCAAGATTTCCAAGAACACATTTATCACCATCGTCTTCACATTCAACACAATCCAGTCCAATTTGAGACATGTTATGTTTCTCAGAGACGAATCTTATAAGTTCAACAAGATGGCCGTGTCTGATTTTGACGTCATGGAAGTACAGTGATGTCAAGTTCTCACACGTATGGAACGGTATGTTCGAAATTTGATGGCAGTAACTAACAGAAAGATTTTTCAAAGTGCCTTTGGATAACTCAATCACTTGATTGTAATGCTGAAACTCTGAACCCGAGTTAATGAATCTTACTTCAAGTCTTACGAGCTCCGACAGCTTCGGTGTGATTTCTATTTCTGTAATTCCCGCTGCAAACATTGATTTTATGGTTCTCTTGTTTGACCGAAGCAATTTCCAAATTTTTGGTGCATTACTCTTATAAATAAATACATCCTCTAAGCTCATATTAATACCTTCCCCACCAGACCTCTTGCACTCGTCAAAACATTTCTCAGTTAGATCTTGTACGGTTTGCACATCATATTCTACTTGTTTACGACGTTGCGAAATGAAATTGAACATTACTGAGCATGAAAATTCCCTGTAATTCGACACTTCTTTCGTTAAATACACATTCATCGTGTGGAACAATGTCTCAATGGCTGAGGGAGCCAAACTAGCCAAAAAGACGAAGACATTAGAGAACTTCTTAAGATCTTGCAATGTCTTGCAAGCCTTTACAATGGTTTTGCGTATTTCATCTTTATTTACACTCATTGAAATGTACAAGGCACCCATAAACTCCTGATATAGTTTATGGAGAAATGACAGTGTGTGTTTTCTCTCCGTTAGAAAACCTATTGCTTTGTTCTTTGAGAGAACGCCAACTAAACATAGGTAAGTAACCGAATCTTCCGTTAAATCATACCTCACTAAATCTGAACCTTTGAAAATCAGACTCGATTCTGTTTCCATAAACAGAGCTTCAAATGCAAGGCGACCAAGTCTATACAGCAAAGATACATGCTTTCCAACATTTGTCAATTTAGACAGACATTCAGGAACTCTAGTATCTGACTTTTCATCCATTGATGGATATTGTCTGGTCTCACTTCTACTCTCTTTCTGTAGTGCTCGTTGAAACATCATTTCTAATGTATTTGCGTATACCTCTGACAGTGACATTTGTGTCAGCTCGCCATCAAACCAAAGACATACAAGATGAGTAGTAAGCAGAGGTACATTCAAAAGATCTTCAAGTTTGTTTTCAGCAACATTTTTAATGAACTCCTCAGGATCTTTTTGAAGACGACATTTCTTATTCAAGCAATCGATCAGAAGTTCAACAAATGTGAACCCAACACCTTCTTCCATTGGTAAAATTTCTATCTGCTGGTCGATTTCTTGCGAACTTAGTCGCAAATGTTCAAGTTTGTATGGTCTACTAGTTGTTAGATAAACACATTTTTCTACTGCAGGCCTATGTGGAATTTTAATATTTCCTGGACAATGTTTACTTTCTAATGGGTGTGTCCACTCATCAAGTCCATCCAACACAACGATACATTTCTCTGTGTTAAGAATTTCCAAGAGAACTTCCTTTCTAAATTACCCTTCAGTTGTTGTTCAATAATGTCTTCTATATGGCAAAAAGAGGTATCTCTCAAAGATATGTAAAACAGGAAATCAAAGTCACCAATGATTTCAGCATCTTCCTTCACAGATTCGTCCTCTATGTCTAACTTTGGATGAACTTTAGCAATACTCCACAGCAATGCAAGTCTCTGACAAAATGCAGTTTTTCCTATACCAGCATCCCCAGTCACGTATATTCTTCTGCACTGTTTACCATGTTTATGAAATATGTTGTTGTATGTTTCTACAGGTTCTTCTTCCTTCTGAATTGTGTGGTGTTCTAACTGTCGCATATATGGCTTGACATAGAATGTTAATAAGGGTAAATTTTCCTCTTCCAAAAGAGAAGAAACTGGAAGATTAGAACACTGGTGTTTATATGTTTGAATCAAACGATTGCGGATCTCTGAAATAAACAATTTAAAATAGTTAAGACATTGTCATGTAAAACAAAATGAGGGGATTTGTGATCCAGAGTTAATGGACCCAATCGGTAATCCAGAGGTCACAAATTCTATTCAGAGGCAGACCAGATATGGATAACTGAAATGTGACAGTGTAAAAAAACTAAAAATAATAAAATAGAAGTGTTAAAGAGATCGCTTTTTTGAAAATTTGTTTTTGTAGTCAATATGTCATTGAAAGAAATTAAATTATTGTAATGTAATGAAGAATTAATAAAACAGAGAAAAACTGAATTCCTTTAGAACGTTCAAAACAACACAGTTGAAAATGTTGCAAGCCCGGTTTGATTGAACATGTTCATGGCCGGAACTTGGGAGTGAAAGTTACCTTCCACGCCTCTAAGCACCGGCATAAAGCACCGGCTTAAACAAAATTCAACATCTACTCATGATAATTGTAAAATTGTGAATTTAGAAACATCTGCAGATGTGTTCATACGGTGGTTATCATTGCACCTTCAATGTGACATGTTTATGCAATTCTTTGAAAAGCGGCGTATGGTACCCTTTAAAAACAAGACCTGGTTGAACCGGATGATGATCCCTAAAAAGGTTTTGGACACAGAGAATTAGTTTCTTGTTGTTTCAGTTGTAGGCCCCGGACAATGTTAACAGTGTTAAAATGAAGAAAGGAAAAATACTTTAAAATCAGACAAGGCAGAGTTATATATGAATTACTTATGTACTGCATTTCTACTAAAAGAGATATATGTATCTACAAAGTTTCTTGTTGATATAGTTTCAAAATAATGTCCCACAAAATGTTCACAGTGTAAAATTTACAACATTGCAATAATTACAAAATAAGGAGAGGCAGAGTTACCAAATCAGGATAAGTTGAGACATTCCAAACTGATAAACCAAATACCCTCATTATTTGAGATACTCTTTATGTTTAATTGTTTAACCTTATTGATCAATCTTGTTACGGTGTCATTGTACATGCCTACAATATGATTAAGATAGTCCGTGTCTTGACGTAAATTTTCAGTGATTTCATTCAAAACATCTATCTTTTAGATCGTAGAAGGCTTACTTATAACTAGCTTGTTTTGCCCCAATGTCCTAAATTTCTGACAATTTAATATGGTCATTTTTTATGGAGGATATGTAATTCTTAATATCTGATATATCTGTCTTAACCGACATGCTTTGTGTTAAAACTTTACAGTTCTTATGCACTGCACTTCTAGTCAATGAGACCTATCAACCCAATAAATTTCCCGTTGATGCCTCTTGTGGTTTCAGAAATTTATATCCCAGACAAAGTCCTAAGAGTAAAAAATGAACAAAATAGGTTAGTCAGAGTTACGGTATTTGCACTGTACATCTAACAATGAGATTTATCTAACTACACCGTTTCTGGTTGATATCTCATGTAGTTTCAGACATATATCTCGGACAAAGTTCTTAGTTTAAAATTGAACAAAGGGCAATAATTCAAAATTATGAAAGGAAGAGTTATGGTTATGTTGCATTGCACTCCTCATTAAAATATATCTACCTACAAAGGTACCTGATAGTACCTCTTATGGTTTCAGAGTTATGTCCCGCACAAGAAAGCGGACGAACCGACAGAGGGACAGACGGACGATCATCCGGACGGACAGACAAAGCGGCGACTGTATGCTCGCTCTTTGGGGACCATAACAATGCCTGTGCCCTTAACTTGAAAACATTGGAATTTTAAAATAAGATTTGGGGTTATGAAGCCTGTATATCTTTCAGACAAGACATATAAAGACAAATTTAAAAAGCAGGTAATATATCCAGATATAATAATGTATTTAAGTAGGAAAACTTGAACCACACAAGTTGAAAAAGGCCGAAAAGAAGTAAATAAATGTACCATTTAGCATGTACATGTGAATGTGCATACATCAAACAATGTGGTGCTGAACGATTTTCAAAATACCATTAACATTTTGAATATGATAACAAGGGCCATGTTGTCGCAAAATACGACCGGCACAAAAGCTTTTGACAGAGATGTGGGCATTATAGATATGCATATAGGAGATATGCTCTGGGTAATATCTGGATAATATATGGATATTTCATCATCCCTAGAGAACTTGACCTTCCAAATATTAACCTAAATTACATGTATCACACTTGTAGTTTTGATAACGAACATTTATATTTCAATACCTATCCTGCGTGTAGAAAGTTTGCTCCGGACAAGCGATTTTTAATGACTTTTCAGTGTGACCTTGACCCTTGACGGAGAAATCTGGTTCATGCACGAGACACAGTTTATCAAAAAGATTTACATTTCTGTGAAGTTTCACCATGCGTAAAGGAGATATGCTCCGGACAAAATCGGAATATGTCCCCGCCAGGGACCCGTTTTTTAAACGGGCGTATATAAATTGATCGATAGACATATAATCCCTTTCTTAGCTACTTATATTCACCCACCGTCTTTTTGTTTTGTGTAAGTATGACTGTCTTGTTTTTGTTTCTTTTGTAATTCTTCAAGTGCCGTTTCAGATTCTCCTCTTATTCTCTTAATACCACGTCTGACTGCATGTCCTATTTTGCTTGTGTGGTTAGAGAACAGTTGTCGAAGATTCCCTAAAACTTCATTGATACCTTCTTGTGCATTCGATTTGATAGATTGCTTTGCCTCAGCCAAGAAATTTTGTTTTAAGTTGTCGATACTCTCTATAGCGTCTTGCAGATACTTTGTGATGTCTCTGCTAGTATCTGTTATGGTCCATGATCCAGAATTGAGCTATAATAAAGAGATAACCGTGTGCAATACTAGATTAAACTGTAAACGTTTGCTGATTTAATATGTAAAAAGATGCCCCACACTCCACTGTATTGTCAATCTTATGGTCAAATATTTTTGGGCTACATGTTCTACAAGTTGAAAACTAAAAATCTTATACTAAGTAAAGGACAAGAAGGTGCATAAGTACACACACTGTCTACAGGTCAAATACTTTTGAGCAATGCATGAACAGCTTGAAAATTGCAAATTTATACTAAGTCAATGTCAATAACCATAACAAAACTGGAAAAATAAATCCACATGCAAAATCCCAGGTGCATAGCCTTACAAGTGATATTGATCATTATTCCTGCAAAGTTGATTGGTTTTAACTCAAGCACTTATGGAACAAATATGAGCATTGACTCTACAAATACTGGATACATCCAAAAGTGAAACCCCAGGTGCACAACTATACAGGATGACAAGTTTCGTGCCTCTATGTTAAATACATTTTAAGCTACGCACGACACAAATTGGGAATTGCAAATTATCAGTAAGTCAAGAGCAATACACTGTAAAAACATAAAATTTCACAACCGAAACCCCAGGTGCACTACTTCGCATGCTGATCAACATTCCTGTAAAGTTTCATGACCCTAGGTCAAATACTTTTTGAGCTACGTGTTACATAAGCAAATTTTTAAGTCAAGGACAGTAACTCTACAAATACTTAATACACACACAAATACCAAGGTGCACAACTACACATGCTGATCAACATTCCTGTTAAGTTTCATAACCCTAGGTTAAATACAGTTTGAGGTATGTGCGACACAAGTTAATAATTGCAAAGTTTTACTGAGTTAAGGGCAATAACTATAAAAAAAACCTGAATATATCCACACGAAATACATAGCTAGGTGCACAACTACACAGGCTGATCCTGTAAAGTTTCATGACCCAAGGTCAAATACTTTTTTTAGCTACATGCGACACATGTTGAAAATTGCAAATCTTTACTAAGTCAAGGAGAATAACTCTTACAAAACAAAAAAAACAGTATAAATTAACAAGCGAAACCCAAGGTGCACAACTTCACATGCTCAGCAACATTCCTATAAGGTTTCATGACTCTAGATCAAATACTGTTAGAGTAACATGTGACGCAAGTTGGAATTTTTTACTAAGGCAAGGGCAATAACTCTAAAAATGCTAAATAAATCCACATGAAAATACCAAAGTGCACAACTACATATGCTGATCAATATTCCTGTACAGTTTCATGACTGTAAGTCGAATATTTTTTGAGCTACGTGCGACACAAAATGATAACGGACAAACGTTAGGACGTATGGCCGGATAAGGGTCAATCTACATCCACACAAGTGGGGGGTTCAAAAACAACTACTACTTTGAGATTGTTTTTCTCTGAACATGATGGGATTTGTATAATTAATAATATATGTTGTATATTTGTTTCTGCGCGATTTAGAAGACACTCTCGAATCAGCTTCTTTGACCTAACTCTTCTTTGCTGCTACTATATGAGAGATAATTTAAACATGTTCGAGTTAATCGGTATACAGTGGTTACATTTTAGATATTAAATATTTCAAATGAGGATAAAAAATAACAAAAAATGTTTCATTCAGATATATAATTTTTCTTTTGATAAAAATATGCTGATATAGTTCAAAGTGACTTAGTAGGAACATTTATATGATGAATAATGATATTTTGTTCAAGAACAATGTATTATCTGCTAAAAATATAAGCAATATAAGAATACGTGTCTCACATCTACACAGCCACTCTCATACACATATATATTTCTTCTGTTTGTTTTTGTTGTCAAGTATGAAACTATATAATGTTTATCGAAATAATTATAAATGGTACAACAGACTTTCCATTATAGACCAATTAACTTGTATTTTTAAACAATTGCTCTCTTTACATTATTAATACCATCTCCAACCTTACGCAAGAAGAATGTTTTTCACAAATGTATATATCAATGATTGATAACATAATATGATTTCTTTAGCAAAAATAGAAAGAAATAAAAATCTGTATACAATAAAGCAATTAAATTGCCTGCAAAATCTGATAGTACCATTAAAAGATGTTAATTATGTTATACTCATTCAATGCATTTGCAACGGATTCTAAAATCTGCTTTAAACTGTAGTCTATTTTTTTCGACTTGGAACTGGTGCCAGAATTGACAATTGAAGAAAAATGTAAGATTTATGTCATTCATAATAAAAATATGAACATATTTAGGTAGAGTTTTGCCTTCCGTACTCCCGGTTGATGTAAACCTGACTTTTTTAATCATGACGTAGACCAAATAACGCCAGAAAACGAAATAGCTTGCAACTGAAGCCCGCTTTAATACAAGCAACTTCCAAGGTTATGTAAAGTGTTTGATATAACGGCTTATAAACTGACGAAGATCCAATATTCTGTGGAAAGCTTATATTTTCCCCTGTAGACTGGTGCATATCCCAAAGAAATTGGTACAGAAATAAAATATTTACGGCTATTTTCTTTTCCGAATCGAGCAACATTTGTCTTGGAAATGATGCCGAAAATGACGCCATAGTCACGTGGCATTGCCACACTGTGGACGGACTTTCAAGTGCAAACTACCGCACTTGCCCCTAGCACCGGCTTAAGCAGAATTCAACATTTAACATGAACTGGTACTATTTTGAATTTTGAAACATCCGCAGATGTGTTCATATGGCGGTTATCATTGAACCTTCAATGTGACACGTTAGTGCCATTCCATGAAAAGCTGCATATGGTCCCTAAGTAAAAAATGCGTGTGCCTTAAACGAGAAAACAATGGGCGGAACTAAATAAGATGGAATTTTGAAAGAGGACCAGAGGTAATTAAGCCTGCATATCACAGATAAGACGTCAAATGACAAATTTAAAAAGCAGGCCACATATCCTTAGGGTGATTCAACAGTATTCAAGTGAGGAGTACTGGAACCACCCAACAAGAAAATAGCCGAATAGAAAGAACTACATGTAAATAACTACAAGCACAACAATAATGTCGTGCTGAACGATCTTAAGGCATCAAAAATATAACATTTCTGATTGAATGTGCGCGGCGACTTTTTACAGCCTCAAAATTGCGATAAAAAAATTAAAACAATAACAAAATAATGGAGAAAGTGCGAAAGCATTAATCACAAAAAATACATGAACATTGCAGACTCGGTTTGATTGAGTTTGTACATGTGGATAATAAAAAAAGTACAGATTCCCTCACGCCCTCTAGCACCGACTTGAGCGCTACTCAATTTTCAACACTTAAAAGTGCTGAAATCAATGATCCGAAGGACTAGAAAAATGTAACAAGACTGAAGTGAAGTATGGGGCAACACAGTACTTTACACCTGCTGTTGTGAAATATAAAAATCTGGAGAAAACAAGCTCCCACCGTAGCATTTATCATGGGGGTCGTAAAAACCTCGAGTTTTGTAACATTTTTAAAGAATTCGAAAATTATATTCTGCAAAAGTATCATGGATAAACCTCGTAAAAAATGAGGGCACCTTAAGTTCATTTGTAACCGAGACCGGTGAATAGCACAAACCTTTGCTCCAACACCATGCAGGGAAAATTGAATTGCAAATCTTTAGCCGATTTTCAGAAATTAGGTATGAGTGACACATAAAATTTTGTATCTTTAAATGAAAGAATCTCCTGGACGAGAATGGAAAGCAGGAAATGAAATGCGGGTCAAAAGCCGCCTTTATTCAGATTATTTTCCGAGATCAGGACCGATGATGCAAATAAAAGGCCATTGATTGTCAAGTTATTGGTCGGAAACCATTTTGACACAATGTCAATGTGACATTGACCTTTGCCCCATGACCCAAAAATCAATAAATGTCATGTACTGTAGAAGATAAAAGCACCCCTGAAGTTTTAGGGCCAAGAGGCTATTGATTGTCAAGCTATTCGTTGGAAACCAATTTGACACACAAGGTCCATGTGACCTCGACCTTTGCACCTTGACTCCAAAATCGATAGAGGAAATGTACTGACCAATTAAGACGTTTGTGGACAAAAATCCCATTGGTTGTCGAGTAATTGACACTGATCTTGTGTGTCATTACAAATCTCTATACTAAGTTTGAAGTTCCTAAAACATCGGGAACAGTTTGGTCCTCACACCGACGGACCGACCTAACGACAAAATGCCAAGCAAAAACCCCCATATCTTCGAAGGTGGCATAATAAACTTTTAATAGTTTAACCACAATTCATTTTATAAAAATGAAATAAACACTCGTAGGAGTAAATTAAAATGATACTAATGAACCTCACTTGCCGTGTAATAGTTACCTCTTTAATGCTTTCTATAGCTGACTCGACTTTTTGGTCCTTCTGTACAAAGTTCTCCAATACCTTAATTAGAATGCTGATGTTGTCTTGGAATTCCTTATTCGAAAGTACATAACCAGGATGATGCCTGTGTTTATTACCTATTTCTCTAGCCTGAAAAACAAAAAGATGATGATTTAAAAACAGTTTAAAACAAGAATAACAATAACGATCAATTGTTCGTCTATATCAGTGTTAAAAGTATGCCTGTCTAAGATGTAATTTAATAACGCTTTCCAAAGTTCAAAAATATCTGCAGATAACCGTTTAGCAACCTGTTGTTTGTTAGAAAAAGCATTTTTAAAAAACAAACAAACAAACAAACAGAAAAAGGGTGCCCACCAAATTAGTTTGCATACATTTGAAATAATTATTCATAATACTCTACAAAAAGTCGTGTTCTTGGGTTGCCTATAAACAGGCCTATCGATCATGTTTATTTGAAAGTGGACGTTCAAAGAAAATTAGGACAATAGGAAAAATGATTTTGTTTTCGCTCTCGATGTCCCTTACCAACCGATTATTTCTGGAGGACCATCTATGGATGCCACATACTAAATTTTAGGATGAACCTACACATTAAATTCACAAGATGAATTTGAATTATATTTCTTTTGTAAGCTATAGCGGCACCGAACTATTATTAGCTATTGAGGCACCAGCATGTACTTCAATATTCTGAATAGAGGAATCACACATCTAAGGCAATTTCAGTCCATGCATGTGTGCTTTCGTTTCATCCATTGAATTTTAAGAAAAGCTGTATAGATATGTTTAACTGAAATATATATTCCAAGAACCATAACTCGAAAATATAGATACCATTTTGACCTTACACACACAAGGACACCTATCAAATTATCTTCTTTCAAAAATACGTCTCTTTAACAAACGTTATCAGTGTTATAATGAAAATTTTAAAGTGCCATATATCTGAAATTTATGTGCACTTTAGTCCCATTAAAAATGGAATGGTATGAATTAACAAAACGACGTTGAATAAAAATTAGAACTTTTTTGAAAAATTAAAAAAGTCAACCTCGAGATTTTTCAGGATTTTTCTCTAAAATGTGCTACTTTTCTTGTAAAAGCAAAATTTAATTTCTCTTGTTTAGTTTCCATAACCATTGCCAAAGTACTCTTCATTTGATATTATATCCTTATAATTTACCTCGCACGCGAGTCTGTGTTCTCTCATTAGCGAGGGAGCTAGTTAAAGTAGACACTGTGGTTACAAGCAAACCAATGCTGAACATATAGTGAATCAGCTCCCCTTTCTATATATTTCTTGTCAGATTTGTATGGTAATGTAGTTTTTTGGCTATTTCCAACGTCACGTTTCTGTTGTGAAAGTCGAAACCTACGAAAAGTTTTAGCGCACGGATAATGCAACCAAAATAAGAAGGATAATCCTATCGGACCTGGTTAATTAAATTATTTTAAAATAGACGTGATACATACTAATGGACAGAATTCAGACAACTAGAGAATTGTGTAACGAAGAACCAATTGTTTAGTCTAGTGTTCCCATTCCCCTACGTTTGATTGATAAGCTATCTAATCAAATCACTTCATTGCTCTTTTTCTCTTAAAAAGAATATAAAATACGACAGTTTATCATGGTAATTATATAAATCTTTGTGTATAAAAAATTATAAAGCGGTTACTGATAGCTCACTTCAAATGATTTTGATTATTTTAAAAAATGGTTTGTTAGTAAAATTGCCTTTTTGGACACCTTGTTCTCTTTTTCATTGTAATGAGAACATTAAGCTATTAACCAGCAGGTAAATAAGAAGAATCAATTTTTATAATTACCGAGTACATTTCACGATAATTGTGTGACGAACCCTAAATGACGTCTGTATGGGCGACGCCATTTTGAAATGGACTTCACCTCAGGTTACAACGTAAGTCAACGGGAAAAAATATGATTTTAACATTTTGACAATATTACTGACTTTATGGAAAAAACATGCCTAGAGATATTTACGCCAGGGTTAACATGGCAATAATCTAAATAATTTTACTATTATATTTAATAAAAATTTGAATTTTCAAATTTGGTGGGACAGACTATATATAGTATGTGTTAACTCCTTTTTTTACTCAACACACAGATATCCAGACTAATAAACTTGAATACCTATTTCTCAATTATATCTCAATTTTCAAAGGTCAAGATCAAAATGGTTTCCGCAGATTATCTGGAAAGCTATTTACACCAAATTCTTCATATTTCATATACTAATTGGTCATTACTAGTAGATAACATTTACGGATTTTTGGTCAATGTCACAGGTGCCAAAGTGTTCATATTTCACATACTGATTGGCCATTAGTAATCTTGAAAGCTATTTATCACAAAGCCTTCATATTTCACACACTGAATGGTCATATGTAGTAGATGAATTATATTGGTTATGGGTCCACTAAGGCAAAGATCAAGCTCACAGGGGCATTAAATGTCAAAATGGTTTCTACTTATTTTCTTGAAGACTTTTATCACAAAGTCTTCATATTTCAAATTTTGACTGGTTATAACCAGTAGATGATCCCTATTGATTTTTGGGTAACTAGGTAAAAGTCACAGGTGCCCTAAATGTCAGAAAGGTTTTTGCTCTTTACCTTGACTATCCTTTTTATCACAAAGTCTTCATATTTCACATATTGATTAGTCATAATGGGGTAACTTATTCAAATGTCAAGGTCTTTATATATCACTAATCTTCTAATCAAACATTTGACCAAGAGGTTTCACAGAAACAGCAAAACATATTTAATGCTAGAAATTTCTGAAATTTCTGTGTACAAGCAAATCAAGGAGCTAAATATAAATTGTATGTATATCTGTGCAGCAAATATAATACTGCTCCGATCTCCCTTTTGGCCGGAACGAAACTGAATATTTTGAGCAATGCGCACACTGTGTTTATACGGCTCATCAAAATTAAAGAAAATTTTGTGCTCAAGTTATGCTATGTAAAGAATGAACATGACTTTGAATGTTAAATTTTGCTTTAAAAGCCTTTTCTATGAGGCTTTCACGGTACTTTGCAAATACTGTACAAGTAACTTCAATCAATAGGTTCAATCGAAGAGAACCCTGTAACATTTTCAATTTTGACGTTTTGCTCGTACTGCAAAGAGTCTGTTCTTCTCTACCTATATATATTAAGTGTACATTTAAACTGTTATACGCCAAATTTTTGATGCACAAGAAACGCTTAAATATTACTAATAAATATTGTTAAGACGTAAAAATATTTAACGCTGTTCTGCCCAATTTAGATGTTTAATTATGTTAATTTGTGCAGTCTACTAAAAGCGACACATATAGTAAATTACATTTGTATTATGTTATGGTGGAATAATGTACTACGCTTGACTTAAATTATTCTAAGAAAATTGGAATTTACCTTATAGAAAATGTTCTCGTTGTTTGACAAGTCCGCCAGTACCTTGTTGTCAAACCTTTTACAGTTTATTATCACACTGATAATGCCATTTAAATCGGTTTCTGCAGCCGAAAGTGAAGACCTATAACCCTCAGGGGACATGAAACATTTGGCTATCTGCCAAGGTGTGTCGGACCATTGCCGGGCATCGGTATTTTTCCACGAAGGATTATTATACCTGTGTGCTTCTTCAATACCATCCCTCACGTTTTGGCATACTCCAAAAGGACATGTTTTATGGTTGATAACACATTTCCGTTGATAGACTCTACAGATCTTATTCTTGGAAGAACATTTTACGACATTTTCTGTCGAACAAGTTTTACAAGGTGTTGTTATTTTTGATTTTGTAGTTTTGTCACGATAAAGTTCATCATGAAAATTTGTTATTTCATTTGCAACAATATCCTGTAGTCCTTCTTTCGTCAGAACTAAAACAACTCCATTTTTTATCCAGTTTTCAAACTTCTTTTTGGACAAGACTGGCTTTTGTACACTAGCCATGATGATTCTGCGCAAAACGATATTTCCCCCAGAGATACTTTTTAGAGATGCTTTTTATAAGAGATATTATTATTTCCTTTCATCTATGTTATTTGTACACCGCATGATTCAGCAATGTAAAAAAAATAAACTTCGTTTGTTTATAGCATAAAACATATATATAAAAGCCCATTATATCTCAGAAATGTTTTTATTCTTATTTTCAAAAGTTTTTTTTTAATTTTGTCTAAGTTTATAGTGACCATAAAGTTACTTATTGACCACTTACATAAACCATCTTTTTCTTTTGTTTCTTTTTGGCAGTTAGTACATTCATATAGTTATTCTGAATTTTGTATGGAAGTCAAAATTCTATACGTTTTGGACAAATAACTGTAGTGGTCCTTCCTGCAGGTAACAATCCTCTAAAATGTTCTTAATCATTATACCAACGTTATAAAACTCATGTTGGTCCTGTTAAAGAAGCAGCACAAATTTATTCGTTCTGAGTCAAAATGAGCAATATGTATCAAAATCACACTTTAATTACAAACATTCGAAAGCCCTCTCCTCGTTTCTTCAATTTATCGATCCGATCCTTAAGTAAGGAATTTAAATTTTAAAAACATTTTGTAAGCGCTTCAGTCGATAATGACATTTGATAGGCATATTGCATTTGGTTTTTTATCCAAAACTACCAGAGTGGACTATAACAAAGCCATCAATTAAATATGCTTTTGTTCGATTGAAAGAACATAAAGCAAATGTAATGTTCTAAAACAATGCTTTCAATGCACATATTTGTTGATCGTCAATAAGATAGGGCGGAAATAATTTGTACGCGCTACTTTTGACCTTGACTTGTGTATGTAGAATAAGCAACAATTATATACACGCTCGACAACTTGATAAATATTTTGTATTTTTTGTTTATCTGTGTAAACTGTCTGTTTTCGTCTTTATGTTATCAAACATACGACCATTGAGAAGATATATTTAAATATAACCTTACCTTTATATTATACGTACGTAAACGCCAATTTTAAGTTATTTTGTTTAAACAGTCCTTACTTCAAGCGGCCTACAACGGTTCTCGATCCTTTAGATTGATGTGTTTTTCGAGATGATAACCGATCAGGGCAAAGCAAAACATGACAAAAAGATACTCAAGCGCAATATTGTAGGGTTTGATTATCACACTTAATATCCATAATTTCATAATTTCCAAAACTTTTCAAACTAATTAACTAGCACAAACCATTCCAGGCACCGTCCTGATAGAAACTTTCAGAATATAATGGAAAGAGAAAATGTGCAATCTAAAATATAGTTACTCATTCCTTTACCCAGTCCAGTAGATGTTAACGTTCGTACATGACCCAGTTTGTTTATAAACTATATCACAACTATCGACCCGTCTGCTTAAAAACTATGAGCATGAGCTCTTTTCAGTTTTATTTTTTAGGGTAATCCCCGTCTTTTCCTTTATTTAATATGTAAACATTTCATCTTTCAAAACGAAAACGCAGGTCATTTTAAAGCTTTCGCGAGTTGTTTATTTTATCGTTCATCAGAAATAAATATATATTCAGAGTAGATATAGTCAGCATCTTATTCGCTATGGCATGACATCCTGCACGTCGGTCTATTATCGAAATATATACATATTAACAAAACTGTGTCAAATAAGTTGTTTACAAAAAACCTCGAAACCTGCTTCCCTTGCCTTTCATTTATGAAATTCGGGTATGTTAAAGATTTAAAGAAGGAGAAATTGTACAGCATGATTTCTGTTTCACCATAAGACAGAAATATAGGAAGTTTAATGACGGAGTAAAACATTTAATTTAATATTCATGTACATGTATATCGTAATTTAAACAATGATATTGTTATGGCTGCTATAATAAAACTATACTTAACTGTTTGTCCGCTTAAATGAATACAGTTACTGTAAAAACAGATAAGAGGTATTAAGTACTCGCACGTGAGTTGTTTCCCGTTCTATACCTTGACTCTTGACTTTTTAGCTCACCTGTCACAAAGTGGCAAGGTGAGATTTTGTGATCAAGATTCGTCCGGCGTCCATCCTTCCGTAAACTTTTACTTTAATTTAAACGACATCCCCTCCTAAACCAATGAGTCAATTTCATCAAAACTTACAGGAATATTCCTTTTGTGCACAACTTAAATATTTTTTTAAAGATTTTAATTTCATGCAGAACATCCTGGTTGCCATGGCAATCGAAGGAAAAAAAGCTTTAAAAATCTTCTTTTAAAAAAAAACCAAAGAGCTAGAGCTTACATATAAGGCATGAAACATCTTCTAGTGGATGTCTACGAAGTTTGTTCAAATAAAAGTTCTAGGGTCAAAATTGACCCCGTCCCGGTAGTCATTGATTATCCTTATAATGTATGTACATGTATATAGTAAAAAGTTAAAAACTTGAAAAATCTTAAAACTCCCCAAAAGCTAGAGCTTAGATATTAAACACGAAATATCTTCAAATGGGTGTCTACAAAGTGTGTTTGAATAAAAGCCCTGGAGTAAAAATTGGTCCGGCTTGGGGTACATTGATTTTCCTTATGTGTATATAGTAAAAACTTTTAAAAAATCGTCTTTTAAACCCGAAAGATAGAGCTTAGATATTTAGCATGAAAACACTTCTAGAGGAAGTCTACCAAGTGTGTTTAAATAAATGCCCTCGGGTCAAAATTGTCCCCGCCTTAGGGGGGGGGGGCATTGATTTTCCTTATATGTACATATCTTTTGGAACTGTTGTTTTCCCTTAGCAATAGCAACCAGTAAAGATTTTACTCATGCACTATTTCAGATACAAATATGAACTTTTTGATATCAGTTTTAGACTTAGATTCTATATCTGTGTCTGGTTATAGTTTACAATATTACTTGTTCCTTGTCATGGAGAATTTTGTATTTCAGGGCCATTATGGCCATCTTGTTACTTTTTTCTTTTAAAGATTATCACAGATAATCGCAAAAAAGTGTAAAATAATGTAGGACAAGGTAAATAAATGCATCGAAGTTAACCCAAGAGAAGACTATATTTGACCAAAAAAAGGAAAAAGAATAAAAGAAAAGAAAGAAAAAAGAAAAAAAAGAAATGAAAAAAAAACCCGGGCTGGGCTGTAAAAGCTTGATATATTATGATATACTTATATAAATCAGCCAGTTGTCAATATGCCAGCATATAGAACGCACTTGCTAGAGGCATAGGTAATCTTTCTCTGCAGTCGTGGTAGTCTGGTTCCCTGTCTTCATTTACTAAGGAAAGTATAGCGGAGTATAAGGGAAGGAACTCCAGGCTACAGCCGTGGTTTCACTCACTCAAACCTATTCTGAAAGGCCACCACTGTGCTGACCCTCGTCATATAATGCTGCTGCAACAATTATAGTTTGCCTTTAATTGAAAAAACAGTTCATGTTAAATCCAATGGAATTCACAAAAATTCATTTTTGAGACAATAACAACACACTCAAGCCGCAATTCCAATTTAACAAACTCAAGCCACCCGGTCGCCGGATGTCAAACCGATGACCACCCGGTGTCTGCTCATGAATCGTCCAGGTACTGGGCGATAATCGTTCGCCAATTGTGTCTGTTCGAGCCCCGGACGAGAGCCGGGAGATGTCCGCCGAATGGTCTTAAATCGGACAGTGACTTTTTTTTTGCATTTTTTGCATCAAAAGCAATTGCCTGATCCAAAAAAAAAAAAAAAAAATGCCCGGGACCCGCCTGTCCGCCGGACGATATCCGCCCGATCATTTCTTTAACTCACTGACCCCAAAAATTATTGCCCGGACGCTGTTAGCTTTTAAGATGTACTTATAACTTGACGGGGCCCGTCCGATGGGCTGCCGTCCGAATGTCACTGCCACCGGTTGAACGACGGCATAAACATGTATTGCGATATTTTGGAGAAATAGATGCCGCCCAGCTGCCGTTTGTTATTTGTGACTGAGGCATAACACACCAGTTTGGCACCTTTGAAAACTCGACTTTGGAAAGTAATAATTAAAGTTATCAAATATGCCGTTCCGACTTCCGAATTTATTCAAGAAAGATCTCTGCTGATCCCCCGGGCAGGAGAGTAACAATCTCTCAAGGTCACAATTACCTTATGCAGCCCCAGACCATGATATTGTAAGATAGCTGTCGAGTTCGATATTTACATGTATATAATAATTGCAAACCCAAAAACGTAAGAAATATGATGGAAGTTCCCAATTGCTTTATTGATTAGATAATGCATGAAACTGAGACGAATATATTCAGGGAGGAAGGGGCTGCAATCTCATTTCGTTACTGACTTTTAGAGACTGGTTTGATTTAGGTGACAGCATCACAAGCTCAGATCCTGGTTAGATTTTGGTGACAGATACACAAGTTCAGACACTTGTTTGATTTCGAGGGCATCACCACAAGTTCAAACAGTGGTTTAGATTTCGACGACAGAACTACACGCTCAGATCCTGGTTAGATTTCGACGGCAGAACTACAAGCTCAGATCCTGGTAAGATTTCGATGGCAGCACCACAAGTTCATCACAAAATACTGAAAATAGCGAAATAAAAATATTAAAAATCCCTAAAGAAAGCCCAAAACGACAAAATTGAAACTGTTGCAGGCTTGGTTTGATTGAGCCTCTTCATGGAGGTACTGTAAAGCGCAAACTACCGTCCACAACCCTAGCACCGGCTTAAGCAGAATTCAACATTTAACGAGAAATTTTGAATTGATGTGTTCATACGGCGGTTATTATGGAACCTTGAATGTGACACTTTCGTGTCATTCCATGAAAAGCATCGCATGGTCCCCAAGTAATAAAAAGCGTGTGCCCTAAACGAGAAAACAATGGGCTGAACTAAATAAAATGGAATTTTGAAAGGGGACCAGAGGTTATGAAGCCTGCGTTTCACAGATAAGACGTCAAAAGACACATTTAAAAAGCAGGCGACATATCCTAAGGGTGATTCAACATTATTCAAGTAGGAATATTGGAACCACCCAACTAGAAAACGCCGAAAAGTTGAAACTAAAAATACCACAAGCACAACAATTATGTCGTACTGAACGATCTTCAAGGATCTAAAGTATAACATCATTGATTAAATGTACGGGGAGACTTTTTACAGCCGCCACACGGCACAAATAACACGGATGTGATC